TTAAGGTTCTCATTTTCCCCTTTTAGTAAATCATTTTGTTCACGAAGAAATTTAATTGTAGCTTCACAAGATTTAGAACATGAAACTTCATTGACCCGGATGTTTGAGGAACTCATTGTTTACCAAAAATGCCCTTTGACTATAAATTTCAAAAGTTAACCTTAAAAGTCAAAATTAAAGAGTCAAACTTAAAAGTCAAACGTAAAAAGTCAAACTTAAAAATTAAATCGAAAAGCTAAAAGTGAAAAATTGAAGGTTAAAAGAGACAATCAAAGTTTAAAGTCAAAGGTCAAACTTGAAAGTCAAAGTCAATTTTTAGGGTCAAAAGTTAATTTTAGGAAGTCCAAAATTAAAAGTCAAAGCTTTGGGTTGAAAATGAAACTTTAAAATTTGAAAAAATTAATTTTTGGGCTAAAATTGTCAAAAATCCGAAAATATAACCGAAATAGCGAAGCTATATGATTCAAAAGGGTGAGATGTTAAACATATAGCTTGCTAGATCAACTGGTAAGGCGTGGGTTGTGTGCATGGGAGAGACCTGGGTTCGAATCTTGCCACACCCAAATTTTTTTATATAAATACGCTGATCGAGAATTCACGTAAGCTTGGGCAGAAAATGTTGGTTAAGACCGAACCGAGAATGTTGCTGGGCCGAAAATCCGAGGACCGCAAACGAGTTGGGTCGGGAAGCCGAAAACACCGAGGAACCCTTATTCGTGATTACGGCCGCCGCCGAGGTCTGACCGAAAACGTGAAACCCTAGCCGTAAACGAGTGTGAAACCCTAGCCGAAAACGAGTTTCCGGCTGTAAACACTTCGGCTGTAAACGCTGCTGTACGAAAATGGCCGCTGGATCTCGCAAATTTACGTCAAAAAAACACGATTTTTCGCCTTTTAAGCTCCAAAACTTGATCAAAAATTCCTTTTTATGAAGAACACGAAGAACAAACCCCCAATATTTTGTCAAAAACTATCCAAAAACGCAAAATTCTCAAGAAAAAGTGCAAAAACGCTCCAGATCTTGCCAAAATGATTGATACAATCCAAGCTCCGATACCAACTATAAGTCCCCAATTTTGCTTGATGTATCAATCATATCCACTTGATGGTGCGGAATCCCAATCAAGTGGATAATGAAAGATCAAATGGAGAAGAAGGAGAAGAAGGAGAAGAAGAAGAAGATGAATCTATGATGTATTGATGATAAGATTGATGCTCCAACACAAGATTCACACACACAGACACACTCTTCTTCTCTCTAACTTTCTCTATCTACAATATGATTATGAATGAATGCTCCCTTGACTCCTCACCCTTACATCTATATATATATATATATATATATATATATATATATATATATATATATATATATATATATATATATATATATTTATATATATATATATATATATATATATATATATATATATATATATGGACCGCAAACTCAAGGCCCAAACCCAATGCTAGACCGAAAACACATGGGTTTTCGGTCCAAGCTACAAATAAACCAAATATTATTTTCGGCCCAAGACTAAAAATAATAAATGCTTAGAAAAGCAAAGTATAAACCATATTTTTGACCCAACAACATCTCAATTCTTCAAGTCTAAACTGAGTGTTGGTCAGTTCATCTTTGTAGAGTACCTGCTCAACAACTTGTTGATGGAGAGGAGAAGGCTCTTTGTCGCCATCAGCCATGAAATAGAAGTAGTTCTTGTATGCTTTTGTTTCTTCTTCTTGATCCACTTCATCATCTGTTTCCCACACTTCCACATTTGGAGTTTCCAGGATCATGAAAGCTTTGTATTTTGAATGCTTCTTGATCTGCTCTACCTTTTGAAGGTAGTATGCTTCATCTTTGACCATCTTGGTTTTCATTTTCCCATCCTTGGCAAAATGATTTTCACATTGATAGTTGTGGCACCTAATTACTTCATTATCATCATAGGACTTCGACTTGTTATCTTGAACCCTTGTGTTCATCCTATTAGAGTTGTAATTTTCAGAATTTGAATTCTGAGAGTTGAAGCTTTGTTGACTGTGGCTTCCTCCTTGGAACTTTCCAGAGTTCTGATGATAGTGTTGGGGTTGCTGATAACTTTGTGCTCTGAAGTTCCTAGTTGTCTTGTTCACAAACTTCTTGATGTTTGGATTGAACTCCAAGCATTCTTCATAATCATTTTCCTCATTGATTTTAGGAGATTCCATTGTGGTTCCAGTGAAAGCTTGATGATTTGCCATGTACCCATTTCATATCAGAAGAGGTTATTGAGTTGGCATGTAGGGATTCTGATTACAGTGTTGAGCCATACTCGAACTGTGATAAGGATACGCTCCATATCCTTTGTTATAAAACTAACCAACAAAGTGGTTTAGGACAGGAATATGATGTGCAATAAAGTTTTGAGAATGATTTGACATGGGTGCTGAATTTCCCAAGGCAAGTCCTTGATTATCAAAGGGAGTTACTTGAGCTAGCTTGTTGAATTTTGGGTCATGTTGTTGCAGTTCAACATACAGATCAAACAAAGACATGGTGTCTAGATTGGTTGTAGTTTGTAGTATGATCATGTGCACTGTATCCCATTTTGGAGATAGACTATTCAGGAATTTCATATTGAAATCCTCTTGCGATCTTTCACCTTTGAGCTTCTTCACCATGTTGACAACAATGTTGTACCTTGAATATCCATGAAAGAGAGTTTCATGGGGTAACATCTTAAAGTTGTCCATGTCTATCAATGCGACTTTCTTCCTGTTTGCAAGGATCTTATCAGTTCCCTCGAATTGTTTCTTGAGTGCATTCCTGATGTTGAAGGGTGAACTCTTATCTTCATCAGGAAGTTGCTCATAGATGTCATGAGGAATTCTAGATAAGATCTCTTACATAGCCTTAGCTTCAAACTTCTTTTTTTTCCTCTCATGAAGTTGAGTAACAGAGGAAACAAATCCAGAGATAACTTTGGAGGTTTCAGGAGAGACATCGGCTTCAGGAACTCTAATGTCTTTCAGAAATTCTAGAGTATGTTTCCCAGTGGAGATGAAGGTCCAGATGTCAGAGTCGTGACATTCCAGGTAGTACTTGATGCGATCTGCCCATGAACTGTATTCACTAGGCACAAGGATAGGTGCATGATTTCCTGCTCCAAGACTGTTTGCAACTGAAACTGAATAGAGAACATTTTGGTTTTGATTAACACTTGCCATTGAAAACAGGTGATACCAATTTGAAACTTGAAGAAAAATATTTTTGTGAAAAGTTTTCAAAGTCTCAAATCCGATCACTCGAGCTCTGATACCAAATGTCGAAATGAGAAAAATTCAGTAAACCTTATAATTGAAGAGTCCAAGAGTTGAAAATACTGAAACCGAGTTTCAGAATCGTCAAGTGGCAAGTAATGCAGAAAATAAAGTGTAAGTCCCCGAACTCGGATTTATCAAAGTATCAATGCAATTGTTTGAATTAATGCGGAGTCTTAATCAAAAAATGATGTGAAAAAATCAATTCAATATATCAAGAACACGTTTCAATAAGGTGAATGCACACAATTATATTCAATAATCGTCAAGTACATTCAATCACTCTTCAACCGTGAATCACTAGTATTCACCAAAAACGCATTAGCCTTGAAAGACTATACACAAATCATATATATATTAAACCGATAATCGAAAGCCCCACATAATAAGCCCACCGAAAACACACTAAGCCCACCAAAATCACTAGATGATTTCGGTCCAAAACCGAGAACAACATAATACATTGAAACCAAAGCGTAAACCACTAAATATAGCCCAACAATATCCCCCTTGGTTTATTGCCTTCCGTTCTCTTTAAGGTTTCTCTACGAGATGCACACCTGCCTGGTCAAAAGCCCCTGCCCACAACTTCTTGTCAATTATTGTAGCTACCTTTCCAGTGAAGGCTTTCAAGGAAACTTCAAAATTTTCATTCTCTACAATAATTTGAAAGTTTGATAAAGTGTGGATATCATGTTCTCCAAACTTCAACAAATCTTTGGGATCAACAATACGAAACTGGTTTTTCTTCAGCTTGATCACCACAATTGTAGTAGCCTCATCATAAACCCATAATTACATTGTATCCAAAGTGACTTCAGGTAAACGTTTGGGAAGAGCGATCCTTTTGGCTTGGTTTGTAGGTGGCCACATGACATTCACCATGGTTTTGTTCATACGTGGATCAATGACACCATTGGCCTTCTTAGTAAACGATGAAGTAGTCTTTAAGTCTTCAAAGTTATTTTTCAGTTTAATCTGAAGAAAATTCTTAAAGGACCAGGCCATGGTGTCATTGGTTGGATTGTGGAAAGGTGCATGCATGAGTTCAGAAAGATCAACTTTTGTCCAAGACAAGAAGTCAACTTTCTTCTCATAATATTCAATTCTTCCACTTTTCCGCTTCACGACCCACATCTTTTTATTAGCTTCATATCCCCACATTATGATGCCAGAACGAACCTCATATTTATTTGTGAATTTCTTCCTAGTTTCCGTTAAAAACATTTCAGGGTGATCACCCGGAGCATTTTGATCTGAATACTTCATCACGATCATTTTCCCTTTCAGCTGCTCAACCCTAATTTGCTTCTCTCTTCTTTCTTGAGCGGAAGCAGGACCAGAAGATAAGAATGTATGAATATTAGCATTTGGAGCAAGTCTTGTAGCTCTTTCACTTGATGATTGAGAAGCTGGATTGGTAGGACCTGAACTAGAATCAATGATCTTTTCTCCTTCAGCACTCAAAGGTTGAAATTCATCACCAAACTTTTGAAATAGGCGCTATTTCATGTCAAAGAATAGAGTAGTTAGACCATCGAGATTTGCTTGAAGTTCTGATATCTTTGAATCTTTATTGGAGTTCTCTTTCTCAAGCTCGCTGATTCAAATGTCCTGCTTTTTAATTATCAAATCTTTTTCAGCAGAGCTTTGTTCCAGATCAAAGACTCTATTCTTAAGCAAAACCACATCAACTAATTCAAATTCAAGCAACTTGCTTTTGCCTTTGGAAAGTCTAGCTCGGGTATTTCAAATGAGCTTCCTAAAGCTTGAGCTCCTTCTGAAGGTATGACTTCTTCTTCAACAATCGGGCTTTGAGAATCCTGATCCATAGGAATGGGTTCAGGGATTGGGCTTGGTATGTCTTGAATCACCGGAGAGGACTCGGTGAATGTGCCTTGTTTGTTTTGAGCCATAGAACCAGGCTCAATCACTGTAGATTTCTTGTGAACTGGGTCTGTGATAAGCACTCCCGGCTTTGGATCTCTTCTCTTTCGCTTCCTTGGGAGTAAAGCATTGTTTGAGTCTTCTGGATCACTTTCAGATGGAGGTTCAGTATCAACAGGACCTGTTTGGGGAGGCTGCCTTGCAGTTCACTAAAGTTATGCTATAGGAGCATCCATCTGTTCAGTGGTCGGTATGGAAGATTGCACCATTGTATCACTTTCCATTTCAGTCACAATCGGAGGAGTGACAACTACATCCTCTTCTGGCATTGAGATACTTTGCTGAATAAAATCTTCAAACTCATTTTCTGACAATTCATTTTCTTGATCCTATTGATCTTCTTCATCATCAGATACTTCAATCTCTTCAAATGTGAATTGAAACTTTGGTTTGGGCGCCACGTGTTCGTCGGCAACCTCGGTATTTATGGAACAAACAGTAGGAGTGTCTTCAACTTCAGCAAACTTTCCAAATTTAACCAACTCCTTTAATCGTTGATAAGCAACTTTGGCAGCCTTTCTTGATTGCTTCATGAGTCCAAAAGGCTGCCAAAGTTGCTTATCAAGGATTAAAGATATGAAAGCTTTGGACTCATGAAGCAATCAAGAAAGGCTGCCAAAGTTGCCGACGTCATGAAAAGCTCTTGTCAATCATTTATATTGTGATCCACTTAAACACAAAAACACATTTTTCAGGACAGAACACGAGTGACGATATATAGCTACTATATTCCTAGATAGACCATTTTGTCTGATGGGGACCAGGGATATTGTTGTCCACTTAAATTTAACCAGTATAATCTACCAGTCAGCCTTTAGTTATGGGTGCAGTTTAAGTTAGTACACTGGAACATGTTCCCCACTTCATGGCATACACTAGTAATCAAGGAAATTTCTTAGGAATCCTTTACTTTAGGTGAGTAGATAATCATTGTGGAAGGCATATGTTGTGTCCCAGGTCGGATCTACCGATCACACAGAGGGGACAACATATGACTAACATAGAGAGTAGGATATTTGATATTTGTAAGAGACAATATACTGACTTAAAAGTGGTGAGCATCATCTGAGTGCATATGTTGTGTCCCAGGTCGGATCTTCCGATCACGCAGTGGGGACAACATATGGCTGACTAAGAAAGAAATAATAACGATTTTCAAACATACCCACTTTATCAGAATCCCTTACTCACCCCCTGTTAATACATGAATTAAGGATATAAGTCCATACGCCAATGAAGTGTTGAGCCACATATCTAGATGATAGTTAGCTTCAATTTATGTCATAGGCCTCATTGTTTATTTTACTGTTAAATCTATCCAAGCATCGTATTATCAGTCCAAATGAGGGTTTCTAAGTTCAAATGAGTCCACATTGTCTAGTCCATTAGTCTTAGTCCTTTATGCCTACCAACACATTGAACACAGAGTTTAGACAGTTCAACTTTAGTGCTTTACACGTATTTCATTTGCCCTTTATCACTAACTCATATTACTTCCCAAATGACTGTCACAAAATTTCCTATTCTAAAAGTAAAACAAAATGAAAGAAAATAAGAAATACCAAATAAAAATGAAAAGAAATTTCAGTCTTCGAAACATATCATCTCAATAAATCCCAGAAGCACGAGCTTTGTTTTAAAAAATAGGTTTTTGGACGATCGAAAATTAGCATTATTATCACAGAGAAGAGAAGAGTTAGAAAATTCAAACCGTAATTCAGCAATTGATGTAATCCCCATTTGTGATCTTTCCTTTTCCTTTCCCGCAAATGACACATACTCTCCAATAAAATTCTGAACGCATGCAGATGAGGGATGTCTCATATCATGTGCCTGGAACAGCCACTATAAACATACCGAAGTCTGATGATATTCCTCCATAGTTGCTCCGGCACAGACTGCGAGATTAATTGGTTTTGGGAGCCCAGTCCATTTTGAAACTGGGTTGACCTTTGCCATCTACGCATGATACGCGTTCCCAAGTCATATCCTGTTTATCAAACACAGAAAATGAAGAGATGTTAGAATTTTTAGGAGATTTGGGAGTGGGAACTTTTGGTACCCATCTGTAGTCAGGTTTAACCATTTTCTTGTTTAATCAGATGATTTCTTCAGTGCTTGTTTTGGAGCTTGAGACCGATCACCGAGATGACTTCGACCTTACCGATCTTGGTTTGACTGAGCTATTTCTCAAATCAAATTTCTCGTCTTGGAAAGTCTATTTTTTGGTCTTTTTAGCATTCCAATCACCATTGCTTGAATGTAAAAGGATTTCTTTTGGAAGATCTTCACCTTGGCACATTTTACCAACCTTGTTCATAGTAGGGAACATATGAACGATGTGGGTAGTTTCTAGCAATGTGACCGGGAGTCCCACAGTTAAAACAAATTTGTTTTTTTTTAAATAAATAAGATTGTGACTTGGTCCTTGTCCAATTGAAGTTTGATTCAAAGAACTTCCACAAGAACAAGAACATACACATTTATTAGACTGTTTAACAAATTTTTGTGGCTTGAATGTTTCAACAGTGGGATTATTATCATCACAAGTTTTTGAAGCATTTTCAGCAAAACTAGAATTATTTTTGTTCTGCTCGAACCCATCTTGCACTGTTACTTTATCTGCACATGAAGTAGAAACATTAGTATCGTTCACATTAATACTCTAAGTTGGGCCGGACTGTTCAGTCTTGATTGAGGCAGTTAAAGGGGGGCTGGCCATATTGCGCAGGTGTCTCCATCTCTTTTGTTTCAGTAGGCGGAGTATAGTTATAATTGAAAGGAGTTGGAACACTATGATACCCTAGAACCTCACCCTCTTTATCTTTCCACTTTAATTGTTTTTCTATCATTGACTCAACTATCTCACTTGACACATCGAATTTCTTAAAGTTAAATTCAGCATCTTCAAATTTAGCTTTTAACGCATCAAGTTCAGCAGTTAAGTTTGCAATTTTATCCTTGGCAAAACGATAGTGAACACATTTGGTGCTATATTCTTCTTTAATCCTGCTTAAATCTTTAGTTTGTGCTTCTAGTTTTTCTTTAAGTGGTTTATTTACTTTCTTAATTTCATATATTTCATTTTTAAGGTGAAAAACCTCTCTAACTGATAATTCATTTTGTTCACGGTATTTTTTTTACCTTCACAGGACTGAGAGCATGAGACTTCACTAACCTCCTTGGTACTGTTGTAAGAACTCATTATTTATCAACAAAAAAGAATCAGATTGTGTAATTTGATTTTGACCGAAAACCAAGATAAATGCCCTTTGACCGAAAACCTTGAAAGTCAACCGAAATCCCTGAAAGTCAATTGTTTGACCGAAAACAGTTGACTGAGAACTATATATCTTGGCCGAGAACACTTCCAAGCCGATAACCCTATACCTTGTTATCGAGAACACTATTCAACCACCGAGAATCACTAAAACCTAACCAAAATCAAGGTTTTTAACGTGTTTCCTTATCCAATGAATTCAAAATTTGGTAAATTGCCAAAAATGATTTATGACGCAATATCCTACAAAATTAGTGAAGAACACTAAGAAAAAGTTGAACTCGAAAAACAGAAACACGATGAACAGCAAAATCCTTTTTCCAACACAACCCAAAAACACCACAAACAAATTAATGTTTCGAAAGCAATTGATACCAAAACGGCCTTAAGTCGGTTTTAAGGCTCTGATACCACTTGTAAGTCCCCGAACTCGGATCTATCAAAGTATCAATGCAATTATTTGAATTAATGCATAATTTTAATCAAACAATGATGTGAAACAATCAATTCAATATATCAAGAACACGTTTTCAATAAGGTGAATGCACATAATTCTATTCAATAATCGTCAAGTATATTCAATCACTCTTCAGCCGTGAATCACTAGTATTCACCAAAAACGCATTAGCCTTGAAAGACTATACACATACTATATATATATATATATATATATATATATATATATATATATATATATATATATATATATATATATATATATATATATATATATATATTAAACCGATAACCTGAAGCCCATAAATAATAAGCCCACCGAAATCACTAGATGATTTCGGTCCAAAACCGAGAACAACATAATGCATTCAAAACAAAGCACAAACCACTAAATATAGCCCAACATAAAGAGTTGTGAATCACCACGTTAATGATAAAAACGTTTTTTATATGTTCAAGATCAATGATTCAAAAGTGTCTCATATTCATTAGAATTCAGTTACAAGTGTTTGAATGTAAAACACACTAAAACTCTCAAGTGGCTCTCTGAGAACTAGTCTAAACAGTAATTGTGTAGAATGAGCAGAAATAAGCAAGGAAGAGAAACTATATAATGGATCCGACGGGGCTTATTTATAGCCGTTAGAAAAGCCTATGACATGGCTTGGCCAATCAGGTGTTGACACGTCATCATGACTTAGTCACCATTTGACACCTTTGCCCTACTTAACGGAAAATGGATTCAATATTCCAATTCTGTTAGTATTCCGTTAGGGTTCCATCAAAGTTATGAGTCTTCATAATTCTTGATCCTTCTTGATCAGCATTGAAAATGTGATGAGCAACATGAGCATCATGTTCCTCAATTGTCTTATAAGATATCATCAACTTGCAGAAGTGTTGTTGATCAAGTTGAGTTGTTTCTTGAAAGTTGGAATGTGTCTTGAACTTGAAGATGTACCACCACATGTTCATGATGGACCATGGATGAAATTCATATGCCTTTGAGCATTTGGACACGCCTTCATGTACATGACAAGTCATGTGCAACCTTGTTGAGCCATCAATGTGACCATGTTGATCCATTGACTTGAGTTGATCCACCAAGTATTCATTTTGATCCATCAACCTCTTATTGAGCCATAGAGTTGTGGATAAGCCAACAATGTTTATGATTTTCCATCAATATTCCAGATGATCCACCAATATCTTGATGCTCCACATGTGATCTAGATGTGCCATCTAAGATCATGATGGTCCAACTAGCATTCTGCAAGTGCTCCATGTTCAGCAAGTGCTCCATATGAACAACAAGTGCTCCAAGTTAACTTGAAGTGCTCCAACATCTGATTCTTCAAACACTTGTTGAATCTTCAGGATCTCTGCAACCTGAAACATTCTGATAATGTTTGTTAGAAAATATAAATCAATACTCAACTTATTTCAAGTGACAATCACATAAAAATATTTCCAACAACATTGTTATTAGTTGTCGAAGATGAATCATGATTATGCTTTGATGTTCCTGATCATCAGAATTCACAATAAAACCTTATTCACCTTTAACTAATGAAACCAATTTTAATGACAGATAAATTTGAACAATCAACAATTCCTCTTCTTTAATTTCGCTGATATTATCAAAATTATCTTCGATATCAATAAAATTTTCTTAATAAGATTGTGTTAAAGATTTAGTTTGTTTAAAATTTTCATTTTTTCATTCTTAATCAAAGTGTCATTAACAATATCAAACAATTCATCAACCATCAAGTATTCATCAATATTAACAACAAC